TGGATGAAATAGAAATGGGGGGGGGGGGAGAGGCTTGGCTGAAGAACTGGAAGGAGGGCGGGCACCTGAGGATGATGCACTTGGCAAATGAGAAACCCTACATTCCTCCTTGAAGGTCATCTCCTCCAGTAGCAAAGAGCTCTCTGCCAGCCTCGTAGTGACTCTTGTGACTGGATGCCCAAATGCTCTGGAGGTCTCCGGAGTCAGAGTTGAGTCAGGCTTCTTCATGCAGTCAGTTTGTGGTGGTCTAGAGTGGAAGACCTTGAGTGCTCCCTGGAAGGACAGATCCTGAAGCTGAGGCTCCAATCCTTTGGCCATCTCATGAGAAGAGAAGGCTCCCTGGAAAAGACACTGATGTTGGGAAAGTGTGAGGACAAGAGGAGAAGGGGACGACAGAGGATGAGATGGTTGGACAGGGTCACCCAAGCGACCAACATGACTTTGACCCAACTCCGGGAGGCAGTGGAAGACAGGAGGGCCTGGCGTGCTCTGGTCCATGGGGTCATGAAGAGTCGGACATGACTAAACGACTAAACAACAAGAGTGGAAGAGCAAAAAGGTGATGCCAGGGGAGATCCATTGGCCACAGGGGCGTGTGGGTCCTTGGGTGCTTGCAAGGACCCACACTGCCCGTTTTCCAGGTTTGGATTAGCCTCCAGATCTGGTTAGCTGCTTCTCTGCTTTGTTAGTGCAAGTGTTACGAGGTGAGGCTGAGACTTGGCTTTACTGCAAAGCTTACATCGAGAAAACAGTTTAACTCCCTCCCCTCCCCTCGCCTCCTCTCCCTCTCTCCCTCTCACTCACTCACTCACTCACTCACTCAGAGGATTCCCTGTTATTGGCTTAGGCACAAACAGCAGTAAATACTCCACCAACTTCCTTTCAGAAGGCTCTTACTTAAAGCATGCCATGCAGTGGGGGGAAAAAATTAGCAACCTGTTTGCTAATGAACACTCTGCGCCTAAAAAGCTCAAGAGTTTGGAGTGTCTGTGTTGGTAGAAGTCTTTTCTAAAGGAGCTATAATTTGCACTAAGCAGTCTGAAGGCAAGGCGGGGGGGGGTACCAACACTGGTTTTGATGCAATATGTCATCTGGAAAGTTTGGACACCAAATCCCAATGGGGGCAACCATGGGGGTTGGCTTCAGGATCTAGCCCTGCTGCTCGCCCTCAGCCGAGCCATGGCTACCATGGTTCACCAGTCAGAAGTGGACGGAGGCAGCCCCTCAGTGGAAGAGGAAGGGGGTGGCGGGCCTCTCACCTCCTCCCCATTATCTAGGGAGAACGGGACAACAGCCCTGTTGGCCATCTCTTGGGACCTTGATGGGCAGCCGGTGAAGGCAGAAAATTACAGCTGCTGCTTCACTGCCCTCCCTCGCCCTCCACCCCCAGTAGAAGGAGCTGCATTGTTCTCCTTGTAATGAGCCTGAGATCTTGGAGGGTGTGTGTGTGGCTGCACAATTCCCTCTCAGGCACAATAAGATTGCATTAGTTAATGGTGATGACCTCTGGGTTGCCGTGTTCCCCTCTCTGGCTAATTGATTCAAGATAATTACATTAAGTTCTTACTGCAAAGGGGTTTGAAGATTGGCTGGGGGGGGGCGAGGATTCTGGTGCCACAAGCTGGCCGCTCTGCGCCTGGAAGCCGTCTTCCCTTGGGGACCACGCGAGTGAGCGACACGAGAGTTCCCAAATGGGACTAAATCAGATTTGCCAAACGGATTGGGAAGGTGGGACAAAGAGCAGCCGGAACAAGGGAATCATCCCATTCCGGGAGGATGAGGATGATGAGATGGAGTCCCGCAAAGATTTGCCTGCCCATACAGGAGACCCGTACACAAGCATCCTTAACCGAGGGCCATCCAACTTCTGGCAGAAAGCCTCCATGGAGGAGAGTCCTCCTCCTCCTCCTCCAACCCGAGGGCCATCCAACTTCTGGCAGAAAGCCTTCATGGAGGACAGTCCTCCTCCTCCTCCTCCAACCCCCCCTCCAGGTATTCCTCTGTCACAAAGCTCTTGCCCTTGGAAAGTTCTTCCTAGCATTTAGTCCAAATCTCCTTTCTCTGTAAACTGGAACCACTGGTTTGAGCCCTGCCTTCCAGAGTTATGGATAATCACTCTTGTGCTCCATCTTCCAGCTGGACGTCACGGCTGTCTTGTGGCTTCTGCATCTTCTATGGTGCAGATGGTCAAATGTCTGCATCATCCCCAGGGTCTAGATGAGACATTGGCTGGGCTCTGTGTCTCTTTATCATCTCCTGGGGTCCATGAGGGGCACAGGGCCCTTTCTCAGAGAAAGCCGTTGGCATCCTCTGGAGGTCACTGGACGTTAAACTGAAGTTACGTTTGGCTAGATCTGCCCCATTCAATGCTCCAAGGAAGCACCAATAGGTTGCCTGGAGGTGGGTCCGAATAGATCAAGACCCCCTTCTTCATCGGCACATGGTAGTGGAGATAAGGTGCCAAATCTTGAGATACTGCAAAGCCCAGCATCCTTCACCATTGGCCGGGCTGACTGTGGATGATGGAGGCCCAGTCCAACGACAGAGGGAGGGCTGTGTCATCCCTGTCTCAGGTTCAAGGGAGCTGACCCCCTTTAGCAAAGCCCGTTGGTGGGCTGCCCGGCCCACAGGCTCTCCATTTAAACCTCCCGCATTTTGTATTTCAAGTTCTGAACCCCACCCTGTGTTTCTACAACATTCCTGATTTGTTTATTTATTTTAAAAATGTTTAAAACCTTTTCTTCTTCCTTTCCAGTCCCAGTGCAAAGCAAAAGTAATTAAAACACACAAATCTGCCCTTGTAAAGAAAACACAGTGGGGGAGGGAGAGGAGAAAGCAGCAGTTCTGAGACAATGGGGATGGGGTGGGCTGTGCTGTGCTGGAAGCAGCCTGCCCCGTTGGCCTGGGGGGGGTCGCGCCTCTGACTCTACCCGGTGGGCTCTTTGCACGTGCTCAGCTGCCGTTCTCCTCCTCTTCCTCCAAGCGAGCGCCAACTTGCCAGCCTGAAACCGATGCTGCTGAACATGATAAAGCACAATGGCCGGAAATAACACTTAACAAGGAGCAGGGGATGGAGTTGTTCAGCATTATTGCCTTGTAAATTGTCCCCATGATGAGATTTATAAAAAGAGTGAAGAGGCCTGTTTTGGCAGCCGGAGAGTATTTATGGCACGTCTGTGCCACGGCTCAAATGTGTCCTTTTGCGTGGCCAGTTGGTTGCTATCCCTCTGCAGAGCATGTGCGTCCGTGTGTGTGTGTGTGAGAGGGGGGGGGAGAGAGGAAGAGAGAGAGATTTGGTAGACACCCATGTAGTAAATCCAATTTTGCTCCTTTGACACAATACCTATATCAAAGTCCTGCGTAGTTTTGTTAGATTTCGCAGCCTCTACAACTGGGGGACAGACCGTCAGACAGGATGGTTTGGGAACAGAGCCCAGCCTGGACACCTCTCTTGATCCACTGCTCCCAAAACCCTTCATAGGAGGGAGGGGGGGAAAAGGCAGGGCTGAGGATGGGAGGGACCCTGCCTTCTCCCAGACGGACAGAAGCTCCCCAGCCGGGAGAGGCCAAATTCTTTCGGAGCTGAGTTTCCGTTTGGGCTCAGCTTTCCTGCCGAGGCTCAGCGCCTAAGAGAAACAAGCTGTAATCCTAGCTCCGGCCCCAGCGGGCTCCAGGTCTCCGTTCACCTGGCGAAGCAAAGGGCCTGCCGGTGTCTCCTTGCTGGAAACCCACAGATGCTGCCCAGTCAACGGCCTGGGCCAAGCAATGTGGTCTGCATTAGAGAGAGAACATGAGATTAAATCGCTGGTGATTTAAAAACCTGCCACCGTCTCTCTTTTCCTTTCGCTCGCTCTCCCTGGCTGACCTTCCACGTGGAAAGCAGAGCTGGGGGCTCTCCATGGCCTCCGTGGTCCTCCCCCTCCCGCCTTGGATAGAGCAAAACCTCTGGACACAGAGCGTGTTCGCAGCCTCGCGTTCCCTTTCTCCCCACTGTGAGGAAAGGGGAGCCGTGGACCTCTTGGCTGGACCCAGAGAGGTCAACTGAGCACAGCTGGAAGGGTTTGAAAGGCAGCGCCAGACAAAGAGAGACTTCTGGAAGGGGGTTCCTCCCCATCGGGGCGGGCCGACGCTTGGGCTGGCCTTATCTCCTTGCGTCCCATGGATGAACCCAGTGTGTGAGCTGGCCAGACAGCCGACTCCCCCAACCCAGACAGGGTCCCCTCCTGCAGAGGCACTACACAGGGAGGGGGATCCCAGCTCAGCTCTTGGTGAGAGGAGTCCCACCTTCAGCAGCCAGGAAAGTCCTGCAGGCCACCCGCTTCTGAATTTCCCCTGCAGCACCTTCCTTGGGATGGGTTTTTTGCTGTGCTTTCCCCTTTCCACTATGGGCCTCTGGGTCCACAGTCAAAGTCCTGCTTTCCTGCCTCCCACGTAGACCTGGAAGGGAGACCCAACCAAAGTGACCAACTTTCCTCTTTTAAGGAGGACAGTCCTCCTTTTGAAAATGCTCTGCTTTTGAAGGGCTGCTCCTTTGGATCCTCCTGATGATATAAAAATAAAAAGCCAGGAGGAGGGAGATCAGGAACCTGGGAGTGGCCCATCCTCCACTCCGAGCTGCACCTGGGTAGCAGCAGGAACATGGGTCACCTAGTCACTACCTTCCTCCGGTGAGATGCATTGAAATGTTCATTTGCATAGCAAAAGCATGATTTTGCATCTGCACTGGAAAATTTGCTCATGCCTTTCCATTCTGTCAGGATCTGGGTTGGCAGCAGGGCTTCCCCTGCACCACCGCCCTGGCAGGTGCAGGATTGGGGCCAGCTTGGTCCCAGGAAGAGCCCAGTGTTTGCAGGATCAAGCCGTGCCAGGGCTGCAGCTGCTGGGGCTCTCATGAGGTCCACCTGGGAGTCCGGAGGGAAGGCCTACTTAAGGAAGGACGCTCTCCCTCCCAGAAGCTGCCTCAGCAACAGCGCTTTTGGGTTGTGCTCCTGCTGTGAACTCTGGTATTCCTGACCCAGCATTCCTGCTCTGGCTCAGCACTCCCACACCTGTGGCCCGGTTCCAGTCCTGGTCTCCCATCCTGGCTAGCTGGTCCCATGGGTGAGTGTGGGCTTGGCCCTTTGTGCTCTTTGCTGGATCCGGTGTGCTGGCTGTTGAAGGCAACTGTGCACCACCTGCACCCTGACACATGTGTATTGGAGTCCTCCTTTCTGGTGGGGTGTAAAGAGACATGGTGGCTATTTTGATGGTGTTCCACAATCTTTTGTATAAAGTGGCACATGGGCAGGCAACCCTCTCTCTCCTCCCTTTCTCTGGCCTTTAACTCAGTAGTCTTACAGGGATTTAATGAGTCAATTCTTTTGGACGTTCCATAGATTCAGTGGGCCTGCTTGAGTTGCCCCTTACTCCTGGATTTCAGCCATGGCCTTTTTTCATTTCAGACAAAAACAGAACAAGCCCAACAAGAAGAGACCAAAATATTGAGGTCCCGTAGAAGTGCTACTTCTGTTTTGTCCTTTCCTTGTTCTGTTTTTGTGTGGTTTTGCTTTGTTTTCTTGCCTGGGATGTTTGCACAGAGGAGCATGTCTGCTCCTTTGAAAACTACAAAGATGGGAGTGTCCTTTCAGACGAGGCCCCAGTGCTGTGTATGGGGGCAGGCCAATTCTGCTTGTGGCTGAGGACAGCCTGCTGCAGAAGCTGGTGTGAATGTCCGAAGGAGGAGGAGGAGGACGATGAAACCACCCTTCTGCAAAGCCAGTGCAGAGAAAGTAGGGGAGTGGGGAAGACAAATTATATTCCCCATCCTCAGCTATATGGGCCCCAGAAAGTGGCCAAAAATGGGTTGAAGAAGTGGTGGTGATAGAGGAGGAACCGACTTCCCTGGGAAACAGGGAAGCCCTCCCCACTTGATCACTTCTGGGCAGGCGAAAGCCTCAGCAAATCTGGTCTGCCTTTACTCCTGGGGTGCCCAGAGAGACAGGGTTAGACTGTAGAAGTCTGTCTCTACATGACAGGCTCAGTCCCACAATTTCATCATGACGTTCCTGTTGTCACTGTGGCCCAACTGGGTGATGTTTTGGGTATGGCTACCTAGTTCCGAGTGACGTCCTGGCTCTGGTATTCCCTGTGCTTCTGATTTATCTGCCAGTGTGCCTGTTTGCATTTGTGTGTGTGTGTGTGCGCGCACGCATACATGCCGCTCACGAGCCCAACCAATTATGCTGGGAGAACCTCCAGCAATGCAGTGGTTCCCTTAGCTGACCCAATGCGCAACTGTGCACAGAGGGATCCACGCTTGGATTTTGCTTTGAGGATCCTCTACCTCTTAGTACTGTTGGGTCTGACTCTTGCCAAAATTGGATCAGAATTTCCCCCACCTTCCAGGCGAGGTTCCTGTGGTCTGGCTTCAGAACGATAGTTTTAAAGCCTTTAAAGGGGGTGGGGGGCTGCCTTGTTTTGCGCTGAATGTTAAGGATCTTGCAGGGCTTGAAAATGGCTTCTTGGGGTGACTCGTAGAGATGGCCGAAACGGGGCAGATGGAGGAGAACTCTGGAATTGTCCTTTGGCCCAAGGAAAACCACTCAGTTGCCAGGAAAGGCAACCCTCTCCTTCTCCAAAGTGGGCTGGGGGGGGCTGGAAGAGGGGTTTGGGGTGTGACTTGCTTTGCTGCAGAGAGCTTTCTTTCCCTGTAACGTGAGTTGTGCACACACATGCGGTCATCCTCTCCACTCCGCTTGCAGCGGCTGATGT